AATGTTCGCTGTTGTCTTCAGAATTGTCGTTTTTGAAATCCGGCTTTTTCAGGCATGGGGCAAATGGGATTTACCAAGCAAGCGAAACGAATCTTCGCTTACTGAACTTAACTCCAGTGCACTGCTAGCATTCACCAAATTTGATGGAGACATAACAGCAATTTCAATTTGAGATGATGGTGACATAAAAGGCACTTTTTGTGCTAAATGTAATGTATTTGCTATTTTCTGCTCTTTATCGTGTTTAGTAGTGGATTTTCGGGCTGCACCATCTTTTTCAAGCACTTCTTCTTGCTCTCTAACAGTGCTGCTCAGAATAGATAACACTTTTGACTCAGTAATCTCTATCTTTTCATAATCCTCTTTCGCTGCAATTCGAAAGAAAGCTGTGGATTGCTGTTTTTTCCTTGTATAACGGCCATGTTGTCCCGTTTTAGCAGCATCAATTAACGGAGCAGATTCTGTCGGAGTGGTCATTGCAACCTGAAAATATCACTTAGTTGTGAAGATCAAAGTTGTTGTTTAGTGTAAATGGTATTGCACATATATATATATATATATATATAATATATATATATATATATATATATGGATTTTTTTCTAACATTTTGTATTCCGTTTTCACGGTGCTTTTTTTCATCGTGCGAATCCCAGTACTTCCAGCGTTCAATTAGTTTTTTCGCCTTCTTCTTAAGCGTGAATACTGATTGAACAAGTCTTCTTGCAATCTCGAGGATAGCCTGGCTGTCGCTCTCCATAGAGCCTTTTTGTTAGCAATCAAAGAGAATGAAGAAGTGGAGCTCGGCTTCACAGGCGCCTCGACAAGTATCACAACCACTCGACCACGCAGTCCCATAAATAAATAAATAAATATGTATATATATATATATAAAGTCAAAGTTATATATAGGTATATACAAGCCATATATATATATATATAACTTATATATATATACACATAAGTTATATATATATTATATATAAGTTATGTGTAGTTAAATTACTTCGTTAAGTCGTTTCAAAAAGTTTTGGCACTGGAGCGGCAATTATCAATTCATCAAGCAGAAGTAATCAAATTACACGATTTTGATTACCACTCAATTACGCATTTCCTTGCTCTGTATTTGCTTTACGATGGAGCTGTTTTGGGAAAAAATTGTTTGCTGCTCAGCACGAACGGAGCGTAGGGGAAGATGCCAGTGAAGCGAGGCGGAAGATTAATGGAAGCTTCCTGTGGATGGCCCTAGTGCGACTGATCCTCCAGATTGTTCTCTTCAACTTGGAACTTCGCACACCACTTCCTAGCCGTCTTCTCTGCAATCGTGTCATCTCCTCAAACTCCATTGATCAATCTTACGCGCTTCTTCATTTACATGTTCCCCTACAAGCCATTTGCATGAGTAATAAGCAAAGTTGTTTCCAGGATAGCTCCATCTCAAAAGAAGTATACTCAAGTTGTACACCAAAATGTTTTCAAGAAAATGCGCAATTGAACGGTCCAGAATCATGTGATTTTTATTACTTCTGTTAATAAATTCGGTTTTTATTTCTTTAGCGCAAAAACTTTTGAAACGACCTAGTGGAATGCGCATGCACTGGAACAAATGCATATCTCCGCAAATGCGCCTATGAATGACGCCTTAGCAGAAATTATAGCACCCATGTCACCTACATTCAACCCCGACCCCTGTAAAACTATGATCAACTCTATGATGACTAACTGTAATATGAAAATAAAAGATTACAGTCACTGTAGGTTATTTTCTTCCCACATAAACTGCAAAATAATACCGGCGATATCTGCCTTTGATGTTGGCTGAGGAATGGAACGAGCACTTGCAAAGTGACCAAAATCGTCTTCAGGAGTTGGCTAAAAAAGAAGCGATTTGACAATAGTAACTCTCTATTTAAACCAGTACAATCCGGAAGCATTCTAGACAGAATCAGCAGCTTACTTCATCTCTGAATCGTAAATCCTTGTTACTCTCCTCTTCTTGTTTCGTCGGTAAATTTAAAAGAATTGACTTCTTTCTATGAATAATCACTCTGTAGAATGACTATCAGTCAAAAGTAGTATTGAATTCCATATATTGACTCTAAAAATTACTTTCTACTAATAAATGAGGGTTTATCCCTGTAACTGTCACTGCTATCGTCTTTTCAATCATCGTGATAACTGTTTTAATTACATGAAAGTGAAAAGTTTTCAGAGACTTAGAAGGGTGCTTTGAACCATTCGTTCCAGTAGAAGCACTGAGGAGACATACCATTATGAGAGAGGGCACGGCCCATAGGAATGTCGTCTGATGTAAACCCCGGTATCGATACTTATTGTCAGATTACACCTTCTTCCGCTGGGCTGGTATTTTATCGTCGTCACTAAAAAGGTCCGGAATAGTCTTCATACTATGACAAACTGATTTAGAAAATAAAATTTATCTAAAAAAGGGAAGTCATCGTGTTGTAGACGATGAACGCTAAGTAGCAGGCAAAAAAATCTTGGTAGATTATTCAAAATATACGAAAAATCCTTGTTTCACTCAATTTTCGTAGTAGTGTTAAGATGTTTAAATCAAATCTAGAGAGGGCTAAGTGATAAGCAGAAAAATCGACCCCAGTTGTTAAATCGGCGCCTTTGACCCTTGTGGGGCAGGCGTGCTACCACCACACAAGCGAATCCACCCACTTCGTAGAAACTCTTTCTTCGATATAACGTTCCTATGTTAATATCTCCGTTGGGTTCTAACGAAGAAAGGGTGGTAACAAAGCGAGAACCTCGGTGGTGTAGTGGTTACGTCCAGCTTAGGTAAGTATACGATATAAATTATATTCCCGCTTGGGGTAGAATGTTCCACGCATCACCCAAAATGCAGCGGATTTTAGAAACTATTGCTGGAGCCACTAACATAATGAACACTTTCTCAGACCATATGTCTTCACCAATGATGAATTCGAATATACTACATCGCTCATTACTGAAAGAAAACTCACCATGTAAAAGCATTGTTGAGTGAAATGAAAAACTTCAAACCTCGAGAAGGAGTTGATCCCGTGCTCTCACAATTTGTGGGACGCGAAAGCAGAACAAGAGCTACGGTAGTGCAATGGTTAACGCGAACTTCCGAAAAGGGTCTCACGCTGGTCTGCACCTACCCGAGCATTGAAAATTTGCTTATCATTCAACCTATTTGTATAAATAGTTATGATATCATTCTATTGTTGAGAAAGCAATGGAACAGATATTTCTGGTCGATTGTTCACCATTCAGTCCTTGATCCCTGCCTCGTTCGTCGACGAACTTATACTGCTCCAAAGCTCCAAAGCGTAGGGATGACAGGAAAAGAAAAATTTCACAGAGTTTGACATTCATAACAAATAAGAAACGCAGAAGAAAGAAAAGGACAAGACTCTTGCCGTTGATCTACTCCTGAGAGATACGCCAAGCGTTCGTCTTTGTCTAGCATCCCTTAAGGTGAATGAATGCATATCAAGCCTTTACAATGACTCGCGGTGGCCTGCCAATGTATCAGGTCGGAGTTGGTACCCTCCCAGACAAGTCTGATGCCAATAAGTCCCGATCCCGGAGGGGAAGGCTTGGTAAGCCTTTAGAGCGCGATCGAACCATTGAACATTGGTTAGTTGATCACTTGTATGTCGCAGAGCACCTAGAACCATTGCGCCACGCGAGCATCTAAGAAAACAAAACTAAGCGAAATTAAATGTGAGAAAAGAAAAGCCACGACTTCATTGTGAAAGAAGAAAAACGATAGGAGGAATATTTAGTGCCAAACTGATCCAATAGACGAACCACATTTGAAAATTGTGATCGCGGGCAATTCCTATCACCCTCTCCCTTCCATGTAAAAGTAGAAAGTTTAGAAGCATTAGGCTCTAAGACAATTACCATCGAATACCAGTTAGATCGGACTATTTCAGCCAGAAAATACTTTATAAACTCTTCTCCAAGCCGTCCCATTATCCTCGAGCATTCGTTTCTTAAGTAGAATAGTGACCTGATCAAAACCATCGTACCTATAAATTTAAACTATGAGAATCGACTCAAACTCAAGAGAATCGATCCATAAAACCCCTTTATACAAGTAGAAAACGTACTGAAAAGTACAGTTGGCGATTTCTTTCATTTGTGGACCAGTCGGACCCTATGGATCTTCGTTAGTCGCCTCATAGACGATATTCTCCGCTTCCTTATAATTCATTACCATCGTATGACTGGAGAAAACAAAAGAAAAAGATAGAAAAATTAAGGAAAAAACGTAGGAATAACTACCGGATTACATTTACACAAATTCGCCTTGCTTTTTGATCTGATACGGGATATTATTGCTGATTTGTTTCGTTAGATTTGATAAGCCAGAAAAAAGATTCGACATGATGGTCGCCTCCTGGAGTACGCACTGAGGAACGATTGAACATTCGATCGATATCGGCAAGTGAATTAGAGGTGAATAGCGCGAAGTGAATCGCAAGCGAAATCTATTAGTAACAAGAGACTCACAACGTCACGACACTCTTTTTACTAGTTATGGGAATAGAGCGGAACTCCCTATTTGAAAAACGAAAACCCGGGAGGACAAAAATGATGAAAAAAGCCGACTGAGACTAACAGATTTGATCTACGAGGGTGTCGGCAGGATGGAGACAATGGGAGAGGAGAGCTTATAACGACGCTCGAACCGTAACATAAAAAGAAAACTCGAAAAATACCAACAGAGGACTTCAACGAAGTCCGACTGTCTAGCAAAATGGAACCAAGCACAACGACATCAAACACTGGTAGCCGACAGTGCGCGATTTTTCGTTGTTTTGTACGCAAATCACCAAGATGAGCCATACGGTATCAAGGAAGTTATGGCTGGATAGAATCCTCTCAATAAAATCTTCACCGATCATGCCTATAGTACTCATAATTTCTAATGTTTGACTGCGTTTTTCGCAGTGGTACGACTGTTTCAAATAAACCCCAAGAGAACTGAGTGGTGAGCAAAAGCACGATCTTAGACGGAGTCGAACCCTCGTTTCATCCATACCGGAGAGGCGTGCTACCACTACACCACCGAGGTACCTTTGCGCCACCACACATTCTTGTTATTTTTGCTCATTACTCAATTCTCTTGGGTTTATGCCTATAATATCTCCACCTTTCGAATTAAGAGAGATATGAACTGTGGTTCAATGTAGCCCAATATCGTGTCACAAACTCATCGTCAACCCTGATGGATAATTTGACGTCTTACTTGTAATTCCAATTTACCAGACCCCAGCTCAAAAAAAAACATTAGTAATCAAAACACAAAGTATTAAAAATTCCAGATTTGAGCCACGAGAAATATCTCAAATTATACCCAATCCATAGAATTCTGGACTTCTAAAATCATTAAATGCTTTTCTACAGCGTCCCTGTGTTTGAAGTGAATATCAGATTTACAATAAGCATTTCTGGCGTTAAAAATGAATGAGATGCGTTAAAAAGCCGTAGTAAATCTGTGAGCGAGGGTTCTGTCGATTACGATGGAATATCCAGAATTTCATGGTTAAGCTTATTTAGCATGTACGGTGTCTGGGCGCACCATTCTCGAAAAGTTGTATCACTCGATTCGTACAGCATCCATTTGTCAAGCTTCTTCACTGAGAATGTTTCGCAGTGCATCGAAGCGATTGAGAGGCTCAAATGGAGTCCATTAGCAAGCTTCAGAACAATGCTACTCCTGCATTTTCCTCGGCCAAACCCTTCAATTTATTATCGTCAGTAGCAGAAGAACGTTCGCAATCTTCCTCAACTTCGGGGTCAAATTTACCGCTAGAAATATTTGCAAACTAATATTGTATTGCATCTGTGCTAACATAATACTGATTCCATAACTCATCAATGCTTCGAGCCTATGGCTCAACGTACATTGAACTTTACGTTCGTGGAGACAATTTTGTCGAAACTATTGCTTTGAGAGTCGAGATTATATCTTGCCTTTACGATTCCGGACGTTCGACACTTCTTCCGTTTGTTTCACCATGCTGAAACCATCACCGAAAAAATGTTGTCGAGCAAGAATGTGGCTTCAGCTGCACTTTGGATCTTTGTCATCTTCCTTCATCACTACACTGAAAGCTTATCCAGCATGACTTTTGCAAAAACTGACACTAAATGGCTGGAGCGATTTCATCTTGTCATCGCAGGAATCAGCCAGACTGCGTGCACTAAAAGGAATTCTGCTACTATGTGGCTTAGATTTTTCTACCACGGCAGAGGTTTCTGCCACAGTGGGAGAGCCTGCGGTTATGACCAACCGTATAGGAATAATCTAAAAGGTTGTATCCGACATCATTTGTAAAAAACATAAAGTGCGGATCAAGGTAGCAAGGGTATGACATGCCATGAGGACTGCTTCGACCCTGCGCTTACGACATATTATCCCCTGTAAGCTCTCGTCCCGTTATACGTCGAGTGACTCGAGCAGAAACCAGCAACACTTCCATTTTTTCCCTATCGCGTGCAAGAGTAACCCAGTAGTCCTCCTCACTCTAGAGATTCGTTGAGCGTCATACCTTTCTTTTAGGCTTTTCGTGAAGAGATCGCGCCATCGGGTCGGTGGTCTTCCTGTAGAGCGCTTGATGTCCCGAGGAGTTCAGTCGGTAACGGCTATCGTCCATCGGTGTCGTTGAAGCGCATCACGTGTCCGGCCCACCTTATTTTTGGTATCCTGGCGTGTGAAATAGTGTCTTTGATCTTCGATCGTTGAAGTAGTTCGAAGCTTCGATTTCTTTCTCTCATTTTCGAGATATGGGACAATCCTAGCATCAACCTTTCGACAGAAATCTAGGCAGCCTCTCCCTACTCGTCCTACCCACCGCTGCCGCACCAGGGGCTCTTTCGGAGTTAGGGGAATGAGCTCATATTTATTGGTGTTTTTAGCATTTCAATAACCACCGTACAGCTTGCCCACGCTCTAAACGTGAGGGCTGGGTACTCACGAGTAGCTTGCTAATCTCTCTCGGAGGAGCGGGAGGAGCTTATTTATTGCAGGCGACTCCTAACTGCCTCCCACGTACTTCCCAATCGCTTGATTGTAAACTTTTGGCCAAATTGACTCGTAGAAATGAAGTTTTGTCTAATCGGCGCTGCAGAACCAGGGAGCTTATCCCCTGAATCTACCTGCTTTCCTGGAAAGCACATAGTCGCTTTCGGTTCGCGTTTTATTTCCCCAATTCACCACGTGGGGACGCGCCACGTGCCCACGCCACTTACCGGGCGAGATCCCTCAAAGATGGAGGTCTGTAAATAGGATCACTAACGCGCTATAATGATCATTCGAACATCAAAATGGTCTGTCAGAAATCTATAGATCTTCCTGTGGGCTCTTCGGTACAATTTTTACAAAAAGTTCGCGGGCTTTCTCAATTTCGAACGCTTGATGCAAAAAACCTCACTGCTTGATGCTATTTAAGGTGTTCAGGATCTTATAAAACATTTTATTTCGACTTAATCATATCGGTTTTGTTATTACTTAGTTCAACAGTTTCGAAACTCTAAGTGCAGTTCTACTTCCAAAGTCTCAAATGTTCTAAAAACTCCTTTTTGTTTTGCGAAGTGTCTATAAGAAATGCTTTTTTTTAAATCGCGCGAAGTGTTCCATGCTGAACGTTGAAAAACGCTATAAAGAGGTTCTGACCATGATGGACATCTTTTTAAAATTGAGATTAGATTGTATTGTTCTTTGCCATTCTCATGCCATGTACGACTTTGTGGCTCATAAGTTGCAAAGTTGAGTCATCAAAACGTAGAAGGTGACTGCTTTTCTGCGAGATTTTTCTCATAGTTTCCTTCCTTTAGTGCAACAGCATGAGGAACGCTTTTGAACACCAATACTTTTTCCAATACCATAGCATGATGTGTGGATAGTTCTCGATCTAACGCAATCATATTTAAGTCGCATGTCTGATAATAACAAACACTTTTAGGTATGACTTATGCTAATAGCGAAGCTCGACTCATAATGGTCTCAGAGCTTATCATTTTGATTTCCTTTATTTGTGTGCTAATGTATTACGACATGTTCGGAACGATTTTCTCGAATATCAAAGATTTTGCATTGGTCGATTCGTTTTATTAGTCTTAAGTGACGTACAACGTTCAGCAATTCACTATTGTGTCTTTGACCTACAATTACAATCCATTTTCGATTTCAAACAAGTCCTCTGTGAAAATCAGCGCTGTCTTCAGCTTTATTACTAATTAGGTGGAGCGTAAGTATTCATGTTTATTGAATCTGAAGAAGTATGTTCGATAAGTCTCATTGCGAAAGCACTTTTTTAAAGATATTGAATTTTTTAATCAACAAAAAAGGAGGCTATCAAGCTATCTCGTTCTGGCACTCTCTCAAGCACATTGAGGTCTTCTTTTTCTGATAGTGTGATTGGTGATTACTATGTGGTCGAACGATTTATGTGAGACCAATTGTGCTCAGTTCAAATGCATTGCAGGAACGTAGCAGATCGCAACAAATGCGAAGCAAATGACTGTGCAAAAGTAGAAAACGCCGATGCCGCAAAGGATAGCAACGGGCTGGAGCGTTCGCAATTTTTTTTTCTTGAGAAATCATCGTTTAGATTCGAAATTGGTATTTTGAGTACAATATCCCACAACCAGTTGCTTCATGATTACAGTTCCTAATAGGTGTCACATTGAAACCAAACTTTTCTTGACAACAGTTTTTTTACCTCAATGTCTTCGTCAACATTAAGATAATTTTAGTGTATATGGATCTATTGTAAAAAGCGAGAAAAATACAGTGTACCGGGAAGTCTTCAAGTGGCTGTCCATTGTCATACGGCATTCGTGCCTTGTTGTACGCCACATGCGATATCGAAGAATGATCATTTATTAAGGGCCAAGGAATTGTATAGACAGAGTTCGTATCAAACATGTCTTCTCTCTTTGTTCTATCCACAAAAAAACTCATCGAGGTTTTTTTTCGTCTTTTCTTCTTATGATATTCTCTACTTACAAAAGTGCTTGCAACTATACACACTGTCCTCTCAAAGCTGACAAGTGACAATGGTTTGAGCTGCTTTAAGTAGAACGGTTAAATGGCTATAGTTCATTCCAAATGTTGTTTATTGAAACAACTATGTCTGTACGGTCGTTGACAGTTCTCTTGTGAAATTAGGCCTTCATATCCAAGCCGTTCATCACGTCAAAGCTTTGATCTGCAAAAAAAAATTTTTTAGAAGTTTCTTCTCTACACATGTACAAAAAATTGATCCACATTTTCCTGCTGCCACCGCTGCCTGGGGGGTTTATTCACATGTAGCGTGATATTTGCCAGTATTGTTTCGCGCACAAAATATTGTAACTAATAATTTAGTTAGCTGCTCTTATTTACAAAAAATGTCAACTCAGAAAGTTGTGCCAAAGAAATCACGTTCTTTCATTCTTGTTTCTGTTGTTTTCTTTCGTCTGTCGTCGACTCATTCTCACACCTATATGTTTTACCTTCTTGCTATGCGAAGACCATTCGACAAGGAAGTGACTCAGAGGTTTAGGGCTCGGTTCACCATGTTCACCTAGCATTTAGAGCTCACTGCAGATGTGGCTTTTTGCAGTCACAGAAGCATCCAATCCGATGTCTTCACGTTTGCAAAATGGTATTTCATGAGCTGAATTTTTTTCCAAATTGTGCACAGTCGTGGCAATTTGTCGCTTGCTCAAGGTCGTTCGCCATCGTCTCCCTTTCAAAAGTGTTCCCCAAAAGGAAGAGGAAAGAAGACGATATTGTTAGGAATATGAGTGATTGAGCAGAATTTGTCATAAATGTTTATGAACGAACTTCACGTGCCAGTAAAGTCTCTTCATTACCTATTGCAATTCGTGAACAAATTTTTCAGAGCAGTCTCGCCTTGTCGAATTCATTTCCCTGTGAAAGTGTCACGTAGTCGATAAATCTGTATTTTTGTACTGAAATATGCTGCCACCAAAGATGTCATATAGGGTGATGAGGTGAGGGCTCAGTGATGAGAGGACTACATGCGTTTCGTCGACACCATTAAACGATTTGTCGTGCACTGTAAAGAATA